ACGTATGCCTCAAACAGAGTGTCAACCGCAAAATGCCTCTTCTGCAAACAGAATTCCCACAGCGTCCCTGGGAAAGAATAGCGATGGATTTGTTCTTCTGGGACGGAGCCTGGTGGCTAATCATAACTGACTATTTTTCACGGTACCCAGAACTGGTCCGCCTTGGTGGTCTCTCATCGGGAACTGTGATCACCCATTGCAAGTCTATTTTTGCGAGGCATGGGATGCCGGACGTGGTGGTATCCGACAACGGACCCCAGTTCTCTAATCGCGAATTTGATGAATTCGCAAAGGATTATGGTTTTCGCCACATCACTTCCAGTCCAAGGTACCCTCAAAGCAATAGAATGGCAGAAGCCGCGGTCAAAATAATAAAGTCGTCTCTGAAGAAAACAGAAGACCCGTACAAGACCCTATTCGCTTATAGAACGAGTCCATTGAAAAATGTATACAGTCCGACAGAACTTCTGATGGGCAGGAGGTCACGAACAAATCTCCCAGTCTCGTCTAGCCGCCTCGTTCTCTGCCTTCCAGATCTCAACAACGTGAGAAAATTTGAAATGTCTCAGCGACGAAAACAAAAAGACGACTTCGACCGCCGGCATGGCGTCCGAGACTTAGTCGACTTGGACGAGGGAACTGACGTGTGGGTAGTCGACCTGCAACGACAAGGAGTCGTCCAAAGCAGTGCAAATGAACCCATATCATACTGGATCGACACTGACGCCGGCGACTCTATCCGCAGAAACAGAACACACCTGATTCCCTTACCCAGTCAGGCTTCTGGATCAGAACTACAGGTACCCGAGAATGTGCAAGAAGACGGTGCTGATTCACCAGAAGCTGGGCCTCATTGCGCCGATGGCGGCCACGCTCACACAAAAAGTGGAAGATGTGTTCGAGCACCAAGAGTTATCAAGAACAATGAACGATGCAGGTGTGACTTAGAGGGAGAAAGGTGTGAGTGTTTGTTGTGAGACTTAGGAGGGGAGATGTGTGATTGGTTGTTGGTGTGAGACTTAGTAGGGGAGATGTGTGAGGTAATTCACCTCTCGTATCGGTTTGGCCGACACGAGGGAAGAGGAAGAAGTGAATAAAGGGCTTTTTGCGTGCCTGACTCCATGTTGAAAGCTTGCCCTTTTCCCACATCGAACAGAAACATTAGCACGGGGGCAGACATTATAATAATAATAATAATAAGAAGAAGAAGAATAAATAATAATAATAATAATAATAATACATTTATTCACACATGTAGAATCAACAATGGAATTACGGGTCCGGTCAAAGCCAGCATGGGCTTGTGGGACCAGGCCCTGCAGTAAAAGAATTCGGAAGTGCACATTGTCACGAGGAAGAGAAAGGAAAAAAGACAGTTGCACGAGACAGTGGCAGTGGCACAAGACAAAACAGAGGCACGAGATAAAAGGCATAGATTCATGAATCCAAACCATCACATGTTGTAGGCTGAGCACTATGCACACGATGCGTTGACCCCGTTGTCTGAAGGATTGTAGCTCGAAGTGATCGAACGACGAGGGGTCACTGACACTCATGGACACGCAAGCTTGCACATACCGTAGATTGTAACTGTGTCGCTGTTAAGGTGGCATCGCACACACACACCAAAGTACCGAAGTAAAGTGAAAGAAAAAACAACCATGAGCACATGGAGACTATTGTCTATGTCCTTGATGGGTGCAGGCCTGTGTCAGACGTCTATTTTTGGTATTGATAGCCATCATAAAAGACAACATAGTACAAGGTGCCGGTGCATATCTGAAATTAGGGTTGTATTGGATGCGCGCTGGCCAAGAAGTATGGGGTCAAAATTTGATACCAATTCCGCGTGCTTTATATCATTGCATCGATACGGCAGAATACATCTTTCTCAAGCTTTTCGTCAATGTTTTGTTGGAAGTAATTGCCAAAACCGACTCAGGGATGCTATTGAAGACATTAGACACATAGAATATACGCAAACTTTCACCATAATGGGTCCTTACATGAGGAATTTGGAAACGAAGATAATTTCTTAGGTCACGAGATGGTAAGGATCGTATAATAAACTCACTGTCCCAAAAATGTCTTCGTATTACAGTCTGAAGGAACAGGGAGTGAAACGTAGGCAATTCCAAGAAAGAGAAAAGGTTGACATTTTTTGAACATTCTGTGTTGTATGCAATGCTCTTTAGAGTATTTCGTAGAATTCTGTCAATTCTTGACTGCCATAGAAGGGGGCAATTAAAAAAAATAGTGATGCCATACCTCAGGACACTGTAGGTAAGAGCATGCATTATACATTTTCTTATAGTTAGCGGCATATATGCCTTAATATGGTACATCATACAAGCGACTGTTCTCAGCCGTTGACATAGGTATGACATGTGGGTGTTCCAAGATAGGTCGCAATCGAAGTGAATGCCCAGGTACTTAATCGTGTTAACATAATGAACAGGCTCACAGGTAGAACATGAGCAGCATGAGTTATGAAGAAAGAGTGGGGCGGTTAAACTCACGCTTTTTAAAGGGTTGCGGAAACAAATAAGCTTTGTTTTGGTAGTATTTACTCGAAGTTTGTTTGCCTGGAACCAGTCCATTACCTTATTGGCATCTACTTGCAGCATGTTAACCGCATGGTGATATGAAATATGTTGAGACAATAAAACTGTGTCATCTGCATATTGTAGTATCACACAGTTCGTCGTAACGGATGACATATCATTCACGTAGATGTTAAAAAGTAAATGAGAAAGAATTGAACCCTGCGGGACACCAGATGTTAAAGAAACTTGAGAGCTGTGGAAATTATCTATTGACACAATCTGAGAGCGATTAGACAAGTAATTCTCCAAAATGGCATGAAAGGGACCACGAAAGCCGATCCTATACAACTTGTCCAACAGAAGCTTGTGATTCACAGTGTCAAAAGCCTTAGCAACATCGATGAAAAGAGCACATGCGTACATATTTTTGTCAAAAGTTGAGTGTAGTATGTCCGAAAAATGTTCAAGTAGGTTAGTAGTACCTCGACCAGATATAAATCCGTATTGATTTGGTGTGAATATTGCGTGTTCTTCAAGGAAACTGGACATTGCAACAAAAATATGCTTCTCTAATATCTGGGAAATGGATGACAATATTGATATTGGTCGGTACGAGGAGACTTGGTTTGGCGCACCACCTTTAAACAGAGGCACTACTAAAGCGCTTTTTAATTCATCAGGAATATAGCCCGTTTCCAAAAAGTCATTAATCAAAGTGAGAAGTACATTTTTCAGAGACTCGAAATTTCGGCATAAGTTGTGTACAGTAATGTCGTCAACACCAGCAGATCTAAATCGCTTGAATCCGAACAGATACGACCGTAATTCGAAATCTGTCAGAGGAGGAAGAAAGGCAGATTCTTTGTTGAACGGCATTCGCGGTGTGGGAATCCTATCGCTGCTAGACGGTACCGTGGCAGAGTCTGAGAAAAAACGATTGAAAGCGTTCACAGTTGCTAACATATCAGCTCCAAAATGTTTCCTTAGTGTCTCATAAATGTTATTCTTCAAATGACCTCGAGCCTCATTTATTACAGCCCAGGTTTTTCTTGAGTCGAATCTGGCATCCGAGATCTTTTTTGCGAAGTATGTTCGCTTCGCTGATCGAATAAGTGCAGTGACAAAATTTCTATGAATCTTGCTTTCAAGTTTGAGAGCAGCATTATTAGGGTAGCGGCGACTCTTCTTCCAAAATTTCTCTTTGAGATCAATGGCGTTAAGAATGTTAGAGTTCAGCCAAGGGAGCTTAGGGTTGCGTTTTTTGACGTAGACAGTTTTTCTGGCGTTGTTCCGGAAGTGTACAACAACATCGATAAACTTTCTATATAAATTCCCACGGTCTACAGAAAATAAAAAACCTTCCCAGTCGTAATCTTTGATGAACCGATCAAACATTTTCAGATCAAGTCTCTCCAGACGACACATTCTGTTAACATCAGTTGATTTTCTAGAAAAGAAAGCAAATTGACAGGCCACAAAATAATGGTCTGCAAGCTTTTGCGAAATGACAGCGGAATGGACAGTACTATCTGACGTTCGAATGTTAATATGGTCAAGGCAGGCTGAAACCAGATTCTTATTAAGCACTTCTTCCCTCGTGGGGCCATGAATAGTAGAAGTTATCCCCGTCTCACAAAGTACTGACAAATAATCACAAACGATTGACTTAGAAGGGGATAGAGTGTCGATGTTAATGTCCCCTACCAGGCATAAATGTGTTTCATTAGATAATCGCTCCAAGTTTCTTTTCAACTCTGCTATAAAGTTGGTGCAGCTGAATGAGGGAGGTCTGTACAATGCCAGCAGACAAACAGTGTGAATGGCATTCGAAATCTTAAGGATCAAGCTCTCAGAATACATAAACGACACATCGACTTTGGAGGTGGACCAGGAATCTTTTATGAAAACGCCAATACCGCCTCCACGAGTGGTTTGTCGAGTGCAAAAATAATCATGGAAGCCCGATAATTTATACGGTGACAGAGATTCAGCACTAGCATTTATCTCTGTTAAAACTATCGCATCAATTCGGCCACTCACATCTTCAAGGATAACCGTAAGTTCGTCCCAGTATTTTCGAATACTACGAATGTTTACATGCAAAACAGTAAATGAATCAGGCGAGGTTGCTAACGAGTCATTAAACAAATTAAAATTGGCATACTTGGAAAAAGAAAACGTAGCCATTACACGATGAGGTCTATGTCGTTACGGTGCAAGATCTTTATCAGTGGAGCGCCTTCTTCCTTTCTAGCAAATATTCGCGCATTTTTGACCCAAACAAATTTAAAACCATATTCCTTGCCACGAGAACGAGCCATCCAAAAAAGTTCTCTGTTGGGCTGAGTCAAGTTGTCGTTAAAGTACTCTCGTTCAGATGTTCTGGAGCCAAACGATTGCCTCAACCTGCTGCGTGATTGCATCCAGCGTTCCTTGATGTCAACGGAAGCGAACCTGACCAAAATGACTGGAGTTTCGGCACGTTTGTCTGGTATCTTGTATGCTGTTACGACGTCCGATGGTTGATGCCCCGTCAACTCAAGCTTGAGTGCCAGCCCAGTCAAGGCTGAGGCAAGACTTTCGTTAGGAGCAACTTTCAGGCTATGTACCTCCATGTTTTGAAGGCGAGTGTGTTGTTCACTCTCGTTGATTTCACTTTTTAAGCGCTGAATAACTTGCTCCTGTTCAGAGACCGTAGCTTTCAGCGTTCCCATCTCCATCCTCAGATCCTTCATTTCTTCTGCATGGGAAGTTGTCATGCTTAAAAGGTCCTCGTACTTTTTGCCTAATGCCGTGATCGAAATCTGCACTTCTTCAACGGTGGTTTTCAGCAGTTCTATGACTGGCTTGAGAAGCAGAAGTTCGCTCACTTTAGCGGGCAGCTCAAGGAGTGAATCAACGCTGACCTTGAGGGAAGGGAGGGAGTCTAGCTTCCGATTCATCAGTTGTATTTGTGCTCCGAGCTGGCCGGAATCGTCTAATGACCTCACTTCGGAGTTCACGTCGACTGCTTCCTCACCGGAGCGAGCACCCTTAGTGCGGCAGATTTTGCATGTCCACTTTATCTTCTTCTCGGCGTTCATGGCAGCAAACGTGGACTCCGCGATACCGGAGCAGGATTTTCCTAGGTGCAGGTTATGCCCACAAGATGAACACGTCATGTGACGTCCGTCGGGCAGAATGGCTTTTAAGCAAGCGTCGCAGGTTAGGGACATGACGGGAGCCTTGTACTTGGTGACAGACAGTGTTAGGCCTAGTCAGGTCGGTCGGGTCAGCAATCGCACTCAGGCTCAGCGGTACGTTGGTCAACGCAAGATGCTATCTATTACGGACGAGGGATCCTTTAGAGCTGTCGTAGGGCTGGGCGTAGGCAGAATAAACCCATATAGCAATATTTACAAGAAAAAATAGCAGAGCTCACCGATGGAGTGTGCACTCCCGATCGTCGTCGTCGTCGTCGTTCCATAATATAATAATAATAATAATAATAATAATACATTTATTGTATTGAGCACAACACTGTTTGCGTGACGGGCGCATCAAAGCCAAAACAAGGCTTGTGTTATGCTACCCTAAAATTAACACTTTAAACATTGCTACCCGGTATACACGCTTTACACACGCGCCAAATTACAGCCGCCATAGCTGACCTTCTCTTGTCTTACCGAGATGCCGAGCAACTGAAACGGTACTTGACGATCCTATACAAAGTCCGATGCTTTAGAAAAGGACACAGTTGAATCTAATGTGGCATTAACCTGACCTGCTATACTAAAGATGAAGTGAAATAAACGAAATAGGAGGAAACAAAAAGTGAAGGTCAGTTATGGCGGCGTCCATGCACAGCTGCTGCAAAGCGTCTATACAAAAGGAAATAAGACAGATTGACATACACACGTCCTTAGAATGTCCCAAAGTCAAAATCAGCAGTTGGGTGCATGCAACACACAAAATCACGCCTCCAAATACTGATTCAAGTACATAGATAAGGTTTAAAAGAACTTAATATAAAAAAATAACGATAATCACGAAGACCAAAGTGTCGCGCCTGATGTGTAAAAGAAAAAGAAAAAATATTCAGGCGAAAAACGAAATTGCAGTACACGGCGTCCAACGAGTGATTGTCCAGGACGTCCAGGCTAAACAAGTGAAACCCACACTGGAAAACACTAAACAAAGTAAAACAGAGATCATCAAAAACTCATACTTCTAAGTGATCTCTTAAGTTTACGGAGCGAGGTAAGGCCTAGAAGCTCGGGCGGCAGCTGTGAGAAAAGCTTTGGAACGTAATATGCTCGCGTACTTTCACCGTATCGGGTATGCACAAGAGGTATTTGGAAAGGCTGCACGTGTCGGAGGGCACGAGATGATGAGCTTAAAGTTTTGAATTCAGAGCTCCAGAAATGTCGCAAAATAACTGTGTGAACATAGAGGGTGTGAAAGTCAGGCAGTTGAAGAAGGTCGAAAAGAGTGGTGTCCTCGGGTATTTGCATGTTATAGGAGACACTCTTTAGGATTGCTTTAAGGATGCTGTCAATTCTAGCTCTCCAGAAAGCGGAACAATTACCAAAAGCTGTTATGCCATACCGAAGGATACTGTACCCTAGAGTATGAGCAATAACCTTACGAACAGAAAGAGGCATGAGACATTTGGATCTATATAAGATGCAGCTGGCGCTCCTTAATTTTTTGCAAATATATGCTAAATGGGCATGCCATTTTAGGCCACTATCGAAAAAAATACCAAGGTACTTAACACTACTAGCGTACTCTAAGGGGACACAGGCGCACTGATTACAAGCAGATGAGTGTAAAATAAAAGGAACGCTGAGATTGATTGTTTTATGTGGATTGTAGAAACACATTAGTTTTGTTTTCTTTACATTGATAGCGATTAGGTTTTTCTCAAACCAGTCCATGACCGCAGTCGCATGGTGCTGTAACTGGCGAATCGAGTCTACGTAATTAATATGTTGGGACATGATTACAGTGTCATCTGCATACTGATAGATCTTGCATCCTGGTACATAGCTGGCGATGTCATTGACAAAGATGTTCAACAAAAGTGGTGACAAAATTGAACCTTGTGGTACACCTGCTTTTAGTTTGGTTCGTGAGCTTTGAAAACCTCCAGCAGATACCAGCTGGGAGCGATTGTCAAGATAGCTCTCAAAAAAAGAAAAAAAAGTGCCACGGAAGCCTATGCTGTGAAGTTTACGTAAAAGTAACGAGTGACTAACGGTGTCGAACACTTTAGATACGTCCAAGAATAGTGTTGACGTGACAACGTTGTTATCAAAACCAGAGTAAAGATAATCAGAAAAATCTTCCAGAAGGGGCTGTGTGCCCTTCCCACGCACGAATCCAAACTGAGTAGGTGACAATATATTAAATTTATCTAAAAAAGACGTCATTACCTGAAACACATGCTTTTCGAGTATCTGCGCGATTATCGGTAGAATAGAAATCGGTCGATAATTCTCGATGTTATTTTTGGCACCACCTTTGTATAGAGGACGCACTATTGATGTTTTAAGGTCGTCGGGAATCGATTTAGCCTCAATAAAGCCGTTTAACATAAAAAGAAGGACCGCTTTGAGACTGACATAATTTCTGCGAAGATCGGAGAGACGAATGTTGTCAATTCCAGGCGACTTGCTTGGCTTAAAGCTAAACAAGATCGAGTGCAGATCCGTCTCTTGGAGTGGGAAAAGCAACGCAGAGGAGCTGACAGTGTTACCAATAGGAGTTGGTGGATCTCTCGCCTTTCCAGAAAAAGTAGCAAAGAAAGCGTTGAAATTTTCTACAACATGACATAAATTACCGCCAAAATTTTGCTTCATCGTATCGTCGATAGAGTGGCGCGTGCTAGTTCCACGGAACTCATTAATCAGGGACCAAGTTTTTCGTGCATCTGAACGAAATTCTGCGAATTTTTTCTGGTAGTAGTTTCGTTTGGCAGATCTAATCATTGCGTTGATTTTGTTGCGAAGGAATTTAAAGTCTGACTTCAATTGCACGTTGTTAGGTGAACGACGGCATCTAGCCCATAAAACATTTTTATCGCTAATTGCTGTCAAAATATTTGTATTTAGCCATAAAAGGTCAGGGTTACGTTTCTTCATGTACACCTCTTTCCGACAGGTATTATAGAATTTATCAAACAAAAGAACGAAGTTTTTATATACGTCACTGTGGTGGACGGACTCCAGAAATCCGATCCAGTCATATGACGAGACTAGCTTATCAAAGGCACGATTGTCTATGCTGGTTATTTCAATACGGCCCGGTAGTTGGCGCGATGCCAAGTTACCGATCATATAATAATAATAATAATAATAATAATAATAATAATAATAATAATAATAATAATAATAATAGGAGTTTATTTTCCAACAAAGTACAGGTTGGAGGGCGGCTTGGAAAAAAAAGCTGTTCGCACAGCTTGACTGGTCCCAAGCCCCCAAAACATTACGATATCAGCAGCGTAAAAACAGCGAAAAAAAGAGAAAAACATGGCGGCGTCCTGTCACCTGTAGTCGAAGCTCCTCCTCCAGCGCGAGCATTCTACCTCAGATAGTATTTTAGTACAGCGGCGCGCGCGCAGCCAAAGCACCATAGAAGGCAACAAGTGTGTGCTGGAGGTAGAGCTTCTACTACATATTTTATGTTCTATAACGTATTGACCTTTGCGAAAATTGCCTTCTGCTAACACCACCTAGACAAGCAGAAGACCCCCGCAGCGTCATCACAGTCAGGTCGATCGAGGCCTGAGATTGGGCGCGAGTGCTGCGTCAGTGTTCGGCCGGGCTCGGGTTCAATCAGCGCGTCGAAGGTCGGACTCGGGCCCAGTAGCCGAGTTAGCGCGATCCGGCTATGATGACGTTTCATGAAGGGAGAAGAGGCGATGCGGAGGTTTAATTATTCTAGGTGGTGTTGCTTCTGCGCGCTGCCACCTTTGTCTGCTGGGCCGTGGTCTTCTGAGTATGCCCTGTTGCTCTGATGTGCGGTATTAGCCTCGAGAGCGAACACAAGGGTCGCTGCGGTCGCCACGCCCCGATTGGGTGACGTATACCGTGACGTCAGGGGAAGGACTCCGCTCCGCGATCTCGCATCCGGCTCGCTTCCTTGCCACGGTTTTCTGGTTTGGCCGTTGCGTGCCGCAAGCTCTTCGGGCAGCGGGACCTTGTATACCCGGTGTACAAAACGCTGGGTTAGTCCGATATTTACGTGCTTTCGTACATTTTATAAGCCTGCTTGTCACTTTTATCTTTATAATTGGGTCACAAATCCCGAAAGCTATCGGCAGAGGCAATTCCGTCGATGAACCTCCCTGTCGGTCACACAGCACAAGGAAATCGTTCGAGGGGTCGGTGAAGCGGCGGCGTAGGTGTTTCAGACGCTAGAATTCTGTTCCTTGCATGTTTATGACTTAGGATAACATTACACCTCGCTTTGCAGACATTTCCAATGGAATTTATATCAAAGGCTTTTGGGCGGTCGGCAAATTAGCTCCTGACACTGACTCTGCACGTGCCACTCTGCATGCGCTGGTTCGCAGATGTTTTAAAGGTCATGGGTCTGAAGACCTTTGAAGTGCTCGTGGAACAGGGTTGTTTTACATAAATGTAGCGTCTCGTGAATTAATGATATAGTTCGTACACGTATGCAGGCATGTTTTTTCTTTTTGTTTTTAGAAGAGGCACAATTAATGCAAATTAGCTTGTATATGGTAGCAGAAATAATGGCCGAATCGCCCCATTCGCCTGTATGAGATGTGTTGAACTGCCAAAAATATGCACAGCTAGTACCGTAATTTGGAACGCTTATACTTTTTCCCTACATTCTTTATTCCGGCCTTGTGTATTCGGAAAATACACCGTTTAGTTTGAATTGTCATATCCAAGTGAAACACACACTGCTGCAGGTCCCCAAAAGCTTCCTCAGCCTCCAGACTCCCTACAGCTGGACTCTCTGACAACAGAAGAAAACAGGAGGAGCAGCAAGCATTCGAACGGCTGTCTAGTGGTAGATGCTGCATTAGTAGCAGCAAATGTGGAATCTGCGAAGGGTGACAGTTTGCGTGAGAAAAGCTTCTGGTGTTTTAGCTTCAGGACAATCTATTTTAGATAAAATCTAAATTTTAGAGCCTAAGGGACTAATAACGGGCTAGACACCTTCGCTTGCGTTTGTTCTAAACTACTTGAGGGATGAT